CCTTATTTGCAATATCTAGTATATGTCTGAGTCAAGCAGAAAAGGTCAGATAAGTTGATGTTAGGGAAATGAACCCTAAGATATGTATTCCAATGTTTTTTTCTTTCATGCGATTGTTTCTAACACATTTATGCGATTATTTCTTTGTTGCTTTGTATGTCCCTCCCCCACGGTATAACCCCTGCTTTCACTGTATTTGATGTTGTTATAATTTGTGGAGGGGAAGGAAAAAAACCAAATCATTTAAATAGGGATACAGGTGGACCCTTTGCAACAATGAGATGTACAAGTTGTATGTTGAAAAAGAACTTTACAACTTTGGTAGTGGGGGGCGGGAGGAGTATGGGATGGGAAGGGGAAACAAAGGAGGAGGCTACAATGCTTGATAAGAAATGTACTTATTATCTTGCCCATATAATTGTAACCCCTCTGTACAGTATTTTCACAATAAAAAAAAGAAAAAAAGAGACCAGCTTGTATTTTATGGGGATGAATCATTTCCCCTCTAATCTGACCAGTAAGCTGTTGTTTCTTCCAAGGATTCTGTATGGACTCTGGAAATCCAAGCAGTTTTACAGAAAGATATGGACTTTGTGAGCTCTCAAGACAAGAAGAAGAGAACAGATTTCTTTCAAAAGCCAACTCTTTTTTTATAGGAAATATTTTTTATTTATTCATTTTTATTGTAAAGGTTATAGACACTAGGGATTACAGTTACATAGGTCAGGTAATGAGTACATTTCTTTTAGGACAGTATCATTTCTTCCCTTGTTTTCTCTGTTTTTCCCTCCTGACCTCCCTCTCCTACAAGGTATATAGCTCATTTTCAACATAGTGTCTAGTGAATATCACTGCTGCATTTGTTCACCCTTTGTCCCACCATTTCTTTTTTTTTGTCTTTTCTTTTTTGGTACTGGGGATCGAACTGGATGTTGCATTGCTAGGCAAGCGCTTTGCCACCGAGCTACATCCCAGCCCCGTCCCACCATTTCTGTGCTCCCACTTATCCTCCCCAAAATAGATAAACTTATATATGAGACAAAAGATATGTTAATTATTAAAGACTACCTTTTATCAAACAAGTGTCTCCCTGTCCCTGTCCATCTATCTGTCCCTCCCTCCCTCTCTTCTTCTTCCTTGTCCTCCTCTTCCTCCACTTTTTTTTTATTGTGAAAATACTGTACAGAAGGGTTACAATTACATGGGCAAGATAATGAGTACATTTCTTATCAAGCATTGTAGCCTCCTCCTTTGTTTCCCCTTCCCATCACTTCCCATCCTCCCCCCACCCCCGACCCAATCCTCCCTGCCTCCCCTCCCCCCCACCAAAGTTGTAAAGTTCGTTTTTGACATAACGACTTGTACGTCTCATTGTTGCAATGGGTCCACCTGTATCCCTATTTAAACGACTTGTTTTTCCCCTTCCCCTCCACAAATTATACCAACATCAAATACAGAGAAAGCAGGGGTTATACTGTGGGGGAGGGACATACAAAGCAACAAAGAAATAATCGTATAAATGTGTTAGAAACAATCGCATGAAAGAAAAAAAACATTGGAATACATATCTTAGGGCTCATTTCCCTAACATCAACTTATCTGACCTTTTCTGCTTGACTCAGACATATACTAGATATTGCAAATAAGGGAAACCATGGGACCTATGTTTCTTTGGGCCTGGCTTACTTCACTTAATATCATTTTTTCCAAGCCTTCAAAAGCCAACTCTTAAGGTTAGGTTCCTTCAGTCACTGGTCTGTGGTTTCGTGCCAGAAGATGGTATATTGTTGTTATTTTTAAGAAATGGTTAGACTTTTCCCACAACATACTACATGGTACAAAATCACTGCTTTTTCTGTGTAGTAAGGTCTTCTCTGAATTTCTCTGTCCAGCCACTAAGCTGATTGACTCCTTATACTTCCATACTTCTGCATATGCTAGTGCTAATGCTTGGGGTGATCTTTCCCTTCCAGTATTCCATTAGGTAAACTCCTGGGTGTGCTTCAAGATCTATTCCAGTGTAATTTCTACTGTGAATCTCTTCTGGTTCTGATTCAACTAGCTTACTAGTCGTGACCATAGCACCGGATTCAGTAGCCTGCAATATAACACATGGGACTTACTGGTATAATTTTGTTTTACCCTATCAACTGATCTAAGTATTCGGAGTCATAGATTCCAGTTTTTCTTGTGGGTCCTCCTTATATATGTCTGCTAAATAATACAGTGAATAAATGAGATTCAGACTCAGTAAATTTTATGGGAAGACCTTAACGACATTTCTTGGTTTATTCTAAACCACTAATTACTTAGACTTGTCTAAGTAATTGTCTAACTTGTCTAAGTAATTAGCCATGAGCACTTTGGGGGTCATGTTGTCTCATTACTTTTTAGCTTTGCCAGTTCTCACCTCTTCTTAGCTTTGCCAGATTTTGGTTGAGAAGCTGAGGTAGCACTTGGCTTTACACAAATTGTTTGCTTTGTTTTTGTGTACACCAGTGGAATGATTGTTTATTGTGTCCTTTAGTGGAAGGACTAGGCAATCAGGACACTTGGAATTTTCTTCTGATTCTGTCATCCAGTCATGTGACTTTTTTTGGCTTCTTCATCCATAGGAGGATGGGTTGAGGTTCATGATTATTAAGGTTCTTCTATCACTAAAAAACATAGACTTTATGAACAGCTTTGACAGTATTGCTGTGGGAAGGGGAGAGGAATTAAAGAATATTATTGACATAGCTTTTCTTGGAAATAAGAGCTTACTTATATGAGGTGAGATTATTCATGTGGAAGAAAGCTCACAATCATAATGAATTTTCATAAAATTTTGCTATGATTAATTTTACTTGGATCTTAATTATCACCAGTCAATTCTGGCAATGTACCTCGATTCAATTCACATTGACTTGTTTGTTTTAATCATAAAAATTGGTTACAAGGGAATGT